ACGGATAATATGAATTTGGTATGACTTTTATATTATGGCATTCACTGATTGATGTAGTCATTTAAACAGAATAAAGTATTCCGTGTGTATAGATATGTACAATTCATTTGCGACTACGGATTTACAATCTTCGAAAACATGCTTTTGTTTCCCCAGATGACCAGGAATAAAAGTCCCCTATTCTGTCGTTGTCTGATAATTTAGAATTTACCCTAGCTATAAATCTATTCAAAGAGCACAACTCCAAGGAAGTCTATCTATTCCGAATATAAAATATTCCTCCTCTTATAGAGCAATTCTAATAATTGTCATTTTTTGTTGTATTAATGCCTTGACATACTATGTGAGAATGTGAAAAGGTAGACGCACTACACATATTTCAAGATAAATTGTCTATTTTAATGATAGGTTTAATTTATTTGGTGGATTTTATTCGATTTTTATTAAAGCACCGAAAAATCTAATTAAGGACACGAGGTCATTCCCTTTATATTCGGTCTTTTTCTGGCCTTTAATTTATCTCGAAGTTAGATCGTTAGAACAGAATTTTCAGCTGCGTTCCCAATCTATATGAAGAAAGAATGGAAATATAGAAAAGCGGACAAAATGTACTTACGACGGACTTTGATTCCTATCCTTCAAAGTCGAAGATGTACCGGATGCAGCTGCCCCTAAAATCCTAGACATGCGTCGAAGAGATGTAAGTCCTCCCTGACTTGATCCTAACCCTGACGCACCCCCTCCAGTCGCTATGGCACTGGCCTTTTTGCGAAATAAATCCATTTTGTTATTTTTTCTTTAGTCTAGCAGTGAGTCGACTGGACACAAATTATTTTGATTCTAAACATAGTCCTGGCACAGGTAAAATCGTCTTCATTCTTTTTAATCAGAGGCTGGTAAATTCCCATAAAATAATTGACGACTTATTGTTGCATTTCAGTGGGAACTAGATTGACCCCACTCATCATCAGAGCAACATTCTCTCAGAGTGCTAGTTCAATGGATATAAATGACGAAACCTCTCGACTAGTTCTTGACCATTCTTATGGGTCATTTGCATTGGATGAAGTAATCCATAATCCATAAATGGATATTGCCAAATGAATAGCTTTTGTTTATATCTGAAATATCAATATCGTAATGGTCTCAACAACACATACAATAAAACGCCATTGCATAATAATAATACAGCTTACTATACCAATGCTAATACAGACGCTGGTAACCATGATGGCCAGAGACTGATGGCAAGTAATAAATACCATGAAGCTCTCTTTTATAAAAGCGAAATCAATTGCCAATGCCAAAGATGTTAGATTCAGAGACAACATTGCAAAAATGTAATTTGGAAATTTTTCAAAATATATTTCATTTTTTGGCACCTTGTCCATTATTTCCAAATGAATTTGTAAATTTTCGCTAATGAGCAGGAGCCAGCCTCACTATTGCTTGGGTGGCCTACACTCCCCTCCATAAGTTTGGAAACCAGAAGTTTTCATTGGATAGCATATCAAAGCCTATGGTTGGATTCCAAAAGGCCCCAATTTGTGATCTCAAAACAATGGGTCCAAAATTTCTAAACCAATGACCAACAATTCATTCATATTTGAAAACTAGGAAGACGCCGTATGGGCTGGGCTGAAGTTTTGGGCCTTTAGTCTTGAGAGACCAATAAATAAAAAAAACAATGTCTGGTAATACCCAAAATTAAAAATATCATGCCCAGTAATGTCAGTTTGTTATTTAAATTGCCCGCGTTATGCAGGGAAGAGCAGTTTTTTGGGGCCAAAACTAGCCAAAACCCGGGGGGGGGGGGTACTGGTCACATTTTTTGTTCCGGGGGGACTCAAAATAACATAACCCACATCTAGGGATTTTTTTCTATAAGATTGGACCTACATCTAGGGTTTTTCTTTCAAAATTAGACTCACTTCATAATTTTTAAAAGACAAGACCCACTTCCGGCGGTACAGTACCCAGGTTTAGGATTCAAAAAATAGCCAAAGTTCTAGGGATTTTTTCATCAAAATGGGACCCATATTTAGGGTTTTTCTTCAAAATGGGACCCACATCTAATGATTTTCGGCAAAAAAGTGATTCACTTTAGCGGCACGTCTCCATATAGCCAATATATGGGAGTACTTTAAGCCGTTTGCCGCCCGAGTCCGCAACCCCGGGGCCAGCTGCCAAGAAGGGGGGGGGGGGGGGTTGACGTTCCATAGGCTACTTGTCCTAAACCATGGGATCCTTATTCCATAGTCTCTACTATCCCTTGGATTGTCCTACATTCTTTAGATGAGAGGCTGAACAGAATGGTAAAATCTCACCAGATCATGATAGGCCCGGGAAAATACCGGTAGAGGCCCAGTACAAGGAAGCTCGAAGGACTAGGCTATTGCACCGGGGCTATTGCCCGGGGACTGTTGAAGGACTATTCGGCATGATATACTTTCAAAACTTGACAATTCTATATTACTAAAGACTTATGTTTACTCGGTACATGCCTACAGCCCTACATAGTCAAGTCATGGCGAGGGAGACGTTAATAGTCTTCAGAAATGAATAAAGGCAATCGATCCGACACCACGTAAACGAAACAAATGAAAATCCTGTAGCTGGGTACCTGCTTGCGCAAATAATATGTTCATCTCATTATTATTGATTTAGCGTTGTAGATTTTAATATCAAAGAAACAAATGTTTCTAACCTTACAATATTAGTAGATTTACTGATATTAACAATTAGATAGGCATGGTCTAACAACATTTGTCGAGTATTATTAGATCGAGCCACATTAACTAATCTCAAATCTCGCATACTATAATGCTATCGCTTAAATAAAGGTTATCATGCTTTCTTAATATGATCTATAAAATCGAGCAATTGCATAGAGTTGGCCCTTTGGCTTAGCGGTTAAAGCGCCTGTCTAGTAAACAGGAGATCCTGGGTTCGAATCCCAGAAGGGCCTTGTTTTGTATTTTTTTTATTTTTTTTAGGCTTATAATATATATTTCATATTTTTCATATAAACGAAATATTTTTTATATTATATTTGTTTCATCATATTAAATATTAAATTAGATCTTATGAATAAAATTAATAATTTTTATAGATATAACAGTCTCAGTCATATTTGGAATAGTGATACCAGAGTAGCGGTATCTGTTTCAACATTTCAAATTCTAATCTAAATTATGGGTTTCCTCTTCCATATGTCAAAGGATTTTTGCATGAAATAAAGAATCTGAAGTGCATACATATAAAACTCGGGTTGGACGTTCAGGTCATAGCAAGTTAAAAACATTTGTTCCTCGTCCTTAGAGGGATTTTGTCAGTTTAAATTCATCAAATTCGAAAATACATTGATCAATCAAAATAGCTGAAGAAGAATCTGACTTTCTTTGACGGGAAAACCGAATTTTAGACGCATAATTAATTACACTGACTTTCTCCGTTCACAATTAATCCCCGGATTATATCTTATTAGCTCTAGACAATTTCCATTATCGACAACCCTAGCAGATTTTCGGTACAGTCTAAACTGTTATTCGCGCCCAAAACACTTCAGGATATACTGTATCACTTTTGTGAGTATTGTTATTTCAATGTAAGGAATGCATTTCATTAAACTATGACATCGGGCTCTTAATTTCCACTGAAGACCACAGAAGGTATTATTGGCAAAACAAAATCTAGGCCTGTATACGAAAGCTATTTCCGAAGTACTGGTTTTTAAAATATCATGATGACACAACCTCTTTCAGAAAAAAACAATCCTTCATCTGACATTGTCTTACGATACTTCTTTTGTTAAGTTGAAAGTATACAACCCAGGGCCTCGGATACCAAATCACTGTATACAGACACAATTTTATTGATTTTTTTTAAAAACTTACATTGTATATGGTGCATTCTAAGCATTTTAAAGTGCCCGATAAACTATAAAATGCGCATGCGTCCAGGTGTTGATAAACTATAAATAGCGAAAATCCAGGGTTTGTCACCACAAGGTAAGCCAGGACGTGTTGAGAGAACAGCTAGTGTTGATATTGAATTTATATGTAGCCAGATAAGTTTCCTTATTGAAATTACATATGGTTATTAGCAATACTTTGTAGGTGCTAAATAATAAAATATTTAGAGTATATATGAGAGAAATTGGTCATTTCGAATCTGTTGAAAAGTTTGTGGCTCTCGGCTACACCGGGGAATTTACTTCCATGAGTACACACATAAATGTGGGGTTCCCCAAGAGGTACGCGACAAGGTGACCTGGCATCAAATGTGCGACTAAATGCTACTATCGAGAAGATAAAATAACGAATACGACAATAAGTTATTGCATGTGACAATTCCGAGCCTTCATCTCACTGAAGTATTTTGAAGTGAAAATAGGATTTTTGTTTTGATACATGGATTCAGATGAACGTAACTTTATTCTGACAACTAATCAAAACTGAACAAAATTGATTGTACGTAACAGACAATTTATTGTTTTACAATGTTTTGATTGGCTAAACGAATGAAACCAACAAATTATGACATGTAAAATGACAATTTTGAAATGTAAAATTTAAAAGTGACAAACACAACCTCCCTATCCACTCTTTGGGAGCCCTAGTAAATTAGTAATATGTACATGCAGCAGTGGTAGTGTGCAGCTTATTATCACACTACGCTTTGTATTCTAAAGCCTGTTGTTTGTAATAACACTGTTCACTCAACGTATGTTTTTTTGTGTGGGCAGTCAACGATAATCATTGTTTTATCCCGGTTATATGACCTCGGCAATTATAACAAAACCGTACTAAACGAAAAAACGCAAATAAGAGAAAGCTTTCACACACATATAAAAAATGAACTAGTCTAATCCGCCAGTATAAACTCTGTGCTATACGTAGCCGGGTCAGGCGCACACTTTAAATGATGGTTACTTAAATATGGATTAAACTTAACCGCCACCCTAAGTATTCCGGTTTGGTACTCACCTGTGAGGATGATGCCAAACCGATCTCCGACGGCCTTGTTCTGGAGTTGTTGAGACCGAGACTCTTCTCACTCTAGTGGATTTAGTAAAAACGTCAGTGCCTTCATTAAGTACCCCGAGATAGACACTCGATCGTTTTGGTCGTGCCAGGGCCAAAGGGCTTGGTGTTTTTCTCTCAAACATACTGATTCGTCTTAGCCTAGGCGAGGGAGTTCTTTGAGGTGTTTCTGATGAATCCTTCTCGGTGGTAGGGCTCCCTCTTGGAGTTACGGATGAACGATCCGCATCAAAAGCCTCCGGCAATTTTTGAAATCCGAAACGTACTCCTCTAGCTCTAGCCTTGGACGAATTTGGCCTCGAATCACCTTTTTCATCAGCGCTTTCATTTTTTCTTATTGTATTTTGGGAATTCGGATGTGACTGAATATCCGGCAAATGCACATCCATCTTTTAAATCTCGATTTCCTGCGCTCACTTACTTTCATCAAACTGATCAGTCTTGGATCTTTTGTAACTATTAATACTAAAACACAGGCCAATCCTACGAGGCTACAGGAATCCTTTTTTTAAATCCTTTCTTTTTCTAGGTCCTCAATGTTCAACTATATTTTGTACTATTTGGTATATGAGGATCATTGTTTAACTGCTTATTGCTATTTACATACACTTTGCCATCATAAACGTATCTTATCAACTTCATTAGAACCTCAGTATCTAATACACATAGACACATGAAGTGAAGTGAATATTCTTCAAAGACCTTTTGAAGTGTTTGACCAATTCAAGGAGTATGTGAACTGTTAGAACTGCTTGATAAACATGCTTCTGGAAAAATGGACTTTAATCCATTCATAATTACAATTACAGAAAGCTGAATTCTCCCTGATGCCCCGGATTCACTCGCTCTAGCTCCAATGTGTTTTGGATAATGCAATGGAATTAAAGACCTCGTCATGGACAAGCATTTCGTCTTTGTCGTCATTGCCTTTATGCAATGGCACAGGGAAGTTGGGATAATAAATGTGCAGGATTCAAAAATGTCAAACCGTACAATGAATTTAACCGCAGTAAACGCGACCATGAGATCACGAACCAGATGATACAGCCCATCATTGTTCTATGATATGAATGTAATTAAAAAAAACTTCAGATAAATTCAACGAACGTCCCCAGGAACGTGTTGTGAAATATAAGCGGAGTTGACATTCATCTCTCTTTGGCTGGGAAGGACATATACTGGACGTAATCATTCAATGACCTGATACGGGCCGGGGTCCAGGCTGTCAGTTCACTTTATCATTCACTGTCAAAGTTAATGCCACACGTTATCAGTCAGTTGTAGCAACTGAGCTATTTCATTTGTCTAACAATACATAAATGTGAAATACAAGAATTATAATTATCAAAACATTGATAATGTTAAGCCTTTGACAATATTTAGCTTAAATATTACTGAATTCAAATGACACTTTCTTTAAATATTCAGAAAAGTAAGAAAGAACAAAACTGAAATATTGGGGGTGGAGTGATTGATACGTATTGAAGGCTTCGATATACTTCATAATATGCATTTTAAGACCAGAAATAGCACATGATGTACACGGCGTTCTATAAGTATCGCTAATTTTGCCTTTACTTCTGTTCCCTGTTTTTTTCTCCACAATATGTGTATCATTAGCGAGCAAATGTGTATTGATGCTTACATTTATCTTGAGCACCTCACGAAATCAAGCCCGTAATTACCAGCTTTTGCCAGGACATCACTTTAAAAAAAATTCCAGGGGTTCACATTTTCACTCTGGCCCAAAATCAGAATAGTGAAAAACTATGGATGCTTTTAAAAACATTTTCGGCCAGTGGGGAGGGGTTGGTTTAATACCCCTGAAGCCTACCCCCTTCTTCAGGCCTGTGACGTGAAGATGGATCAGCAAGTGAATCTGGAATGGATTATTAGTATTTGTACTGCATATTCCTAGTTAACCAATAATATGTTATCCTGCTTTGAACATTAAAAATGTTGTCCAAACGTGACGTCAGAATTTTCCCCACATACCCACGACAATGGTTACCATAGTAACCATAACTTTGTCAAAACTAAGTTCCTTTTCAGGAATATTTAAAAGAATAAGGTCAGATGCATTTTGCTGTGAACGTTTCACGAAGAAAAAGCCAAGACAACCAAAGATATAGCAAAATTATTATTAAAATACTAATTGAATACCCTGTACATGTACATGACACCCTAGCAACCGCATTATCAATTTTTATAATTGTACGTGTGACTGATGAAACGAATCATATTTAATTTAAATTCGTTTTTCTCAATATACAAATGATGTTACATCTGTGGTGCTTTGCTACTTGACCTAGTCCAGCAGAAGTCATGTAGCGAAGCATCACGCATGTTTAATGAATGAATTCAACGTTTTATCTGGAAAATAATTTTAAATAACATAGTCCTAGAACATAGTCCCAAAAGAACAGTGACAAAACAAATGGCGGGTTCGACCTGTTCCAAAAAAATCTAGTCTCAAAATCCTTAAGAGTATCAAAGGTCAACACCCATTCGGAAAATGCCGATCAGATAATGACAATTCTCATCTACATACCTTAACTCATTCACCTCGGCTGATAGTGGGGACTTGGTGGCAACGCTAACCTTCCTGACAAACGCTGCAAACTTAGCACGGGCTCCACTAGATGTCGCCTTGATAACATCGCCGCCACTCGCATCTTGGGCCATAGACCCAATGCCAAATCTGCGTTTCATTTCACTCGGTCAGTAAATGTTCACGTTGAATAATTCGTTGTTTTTATGGTAGTTCTTTTATCAATGAGAAAAAGGCAATGGCATTGTGAAAGTAAAGTCAGAAAATTATTTCAAGTGTTCAAAATATCCATGGATCCATAGTACAATGTAGTAGTGTACATTTAGTTCGATCTGCGAATTATGGCAATTGATTGCTTAGATACTACTGAGAAAAACTCTATTCTCTACAGTCCATTTATTACTTTATTTTCTCTCCTACTTTATTATTCTTCACAACAAATTTAATTGAAAAGAAACCATTCTCACAATTGAATGTGATTGATTGACACACTGACTTTTTGTTTTGTTGTTTTTATGTCTTTTGAGTGTGCATGTCAAAATCTATTAAATTGTACCCTAAGTAAAGGCGATTCATCATTGTTGAATATATTGGCAATCTTATTCTGTTATTTATAGTCGCGTATGTATTTTGAAATCGTAATCCCATTTCTCATGCAATACGAGGCTGATCAATAAGTACAGTTGGGGACAAAAATAAATGACAGGTCGATTTTCGATCACCATTTCCTAATTATGGTGGTCTGAAAGCCCATAATTTCCAATATTCTCTAGATACATATCCCTTAAAATTTGTATATTTACATTTTGTATAATCTCATCCACTGATTTATGGCCTCTTGTTAATTCTGTTATTTTTAACATGGGAAATCCTCACTTCAGCAAATGCACCTGTCATTTATTTATGTCCCCAACTGTAATGGATCGTGCTTTTTTTAAAACATTTCAATAAAAGTTGTATTTTCCTCTCTGGCTAATTTGTTCAACATAGGTCTGAAATATATACTATATTGTTGTCAGGTTATACATTTACATGAATACATATAGCAGGTGACAATGCTATGCTTGTTTTCTGTAAATTGACTCTTCCCTTCTTAAAAAGTTGACAGTCGTTGCAATATGAACGTCGGGTGAGAAGTCGAATCGGTCAAATATGAAAAGCATATTTAGAACAACATATATAAAGACATTTGGTATAGCGTACTCCACTGTGTAGGAGAAATGGTACGGCTATGCGTTTGAACCTAGGATTGAATATATCCTAGGTTTGAACATATTATCCAAACAGAATACCATAGTAGTAATCCCGGTCATTTTTATTTCTCTAACAATCTAACAACAACTTTTATTTACCCTACTATCACACCAAACTAGTTCTCACTACGTTCTCGAAAACGGGCTTCAACTGTGTACGAACGTACTGCATGTACTTAGAACCGTTTGGGGTCTATTTACAAACTTCATCGAACGTACTCGAACGGGTAGGTCCTCTAGAACTTAGAACATGCTCAAAATGTTCTCGTGGTCGATACGTTCTACAATTAGAACGAGTGACAACGTACTAACGACGAGCTGGACGTACTACGAACGGAACCGTGGTACTTTAATCCTACTAGAGACGTTTTAACAACGAGTTGAACTGTCTGAGGACGTATTGAGAACGAGGTAGAACTAATCACAAACGAGTTTAAACTGATTAAGAACGTATTTAAGAACGAGTTAGCAAAAATATAGCTATCACACCAAACAAGTTAGAATTTTGAATCGATTCAAAATTCGATGGCGACCATACCGTTCTGTAATCAGGTCATGATGACCTTCTAGACTAAGGGACGCGTTATACGACGTTGCACACCGACGTGGTGCGACCTGAACGAACTGCGAACGAGATGGACGTATTGATTCGTAGGACTGGCAAGAACGGGTAAGAACTAGTTTGGGTGTGATAGGGGGGTTACATTTAAGATGAATGCCAAAATAACAAGTGACATAGACCTATTGGCATTACAAAATAAAAGCAAAAAGAATTGTTGAAGAACTGCGTGTATGTTTAGCTATATGAAGAATTACATTGGAAATCAAAACTTCTGCTACTGTTAATCGTAACACTGTTGCAGGTTAGACCATTCAATTCACTGATGATCCACTCGATTACGCTGGAACCGTTTCGGTAACAAAATGTCGGAACGTCGAAGGTACGATTTTTCTTTTTTCCTTATTTCACACGTTGTGGGCAGAATTCACACGGCATTTTTATCACAAACGTGTATCAGTATCATATGTTTAAGAAATTTACACATTTGCAAACAAATAGTTCAGAAGACGACGGAATCGTCGATTTAATTCCTCACTTAAGTCACATGAACGGTATTTCGAAAACAGTGAAGATCTGCACTTTTAACCCCTACCGTTTGTTTAACCCCTGCCGTTTGTGTGAAAACATGTCGTGGGGATTCTGCCTACGACGCGTGAAATAAGGAAAAAAGAAAAAATCGTACCTTCGACGTTCCGACATTTTGTTACCGAAACGAACCGTTTCGGAATATGCCACCAGCGTAATCGAGCGGATCCCCAGTGCAATTAAGCTTATATTAACATGAATGATGACTAAATTGTGTTTTCAGCAGGTATGCGTAAAACTATGGTAACTTGTTCTACAGGTGTCTACTTTGAAAACCAAATAGTGCATTATCAAAATCACTGAAAATCTAACATTTGTTTCTGCTCAAATGCTAGAAGTTCTGAAAATATAGAGCTGGAATAAGTAAAGTTGTGTTGTTAGGTGGACAGCCTAATATACTAAGTATTTACCAAAGCAAATAGAAGCGTTATTTGAATGAATAACTAAAAAGCGTATACGAAGAATCAAACCTATTCAATCTTACCCAAAGCACTATCGATACGGTTCCAGATGACTACATTATACAGTTTTTATGCTTTCTCAAGATCGACCACCCACCATGGTTTATTGTCCATGGTTGAGGTATGAGTACAAGAATCTTAAGAGTAACGTCCGTCTGTATTACCGTCAACGGAATTTCCAGGTTAACCACAGATTTTAGGTTTTGATTGATACGTGTGTATTTGTTTAGAGCTGTAACTTGGTGCTACTAAGCGTCAAATTGTGATCTGAAAGGACAAAGACGATCAGGTAAAATTTATATCACAAGTCACTCCCAGTTAACATGTAGCCAAACACAATCCTGCAAACAGATGAAATATACCCCGAGTTTATGTTTGGCGGAAAACAAAGCTAAACTTGGATTCGCGAATGTAACTTTCGGCTATCGGATTAATCCACTATTTTCTGGGCAGCTCATTTAAATATGAAGAGAACCTGCCACTATAACATTCATGGTTAAATGAGTCGGTCATAAAATAGTAGGTTAATCCGGTAGCCGAACGTTGCATTCACGTATACGCGCTAAATTCATCGAATTTCCATGGGCTTATATGGGCTGATTTAGTTTTGATTTATGGAAAAAGCATCTTGCTTCATCAAGCTTCGGACCAGCGTGGGAACCGACGATGTGGAAAAAGGACGACAATCGTTTACCTGCTTTAGTCTGCCCGAATCTCCATCCATTTGAAGTGCCAGATGTCTTCCAGTCCCAGTCCGTCATTCCAAATAACTCACATATTCTTGAAACACGTCATGGTATACCTTTGGGTCTGTAATACAGATTTCTTTTCGAGAAATTGCAGCGCTGTGATTTAATAGTTACGTGAGCCGTAGAGGGACTCGGCGAGGATTAACCCCACAGAGCCTCTGACCCTCATGCTATGGACCTCCTGCACGCAGAACAGAACAGTATTCAATGCTGAGAAAGAAACATCTACCAACTGACAAAGCACCAACGAGGAGTTATTCTAATACCAGTATCTTTCCAGTAGGCAAGTACCATCTATGGCAACCATTGGAAATACAGGTGGAGGTTTAACCTCTGCTGGGGGCACCTTCCAAATAATAATCGGATATAGTCGGAGCATGGGCAAAGTCCCATTGCATAGCGCCCGAAATCCGAGGAAGGGAGACTACTGATGATGTATCTCGGTAGCCAGTATTGATGAGCATCTTGTGTTTTATTTATGAATCCACCTGGTAAGTTATACGCCATATACGTGTTTGACAGTAAGCACCACACCAGGCAATGATCTATAAGTTTCCAATATTCAAAATCGTCTCATCTGACGAGTTCATTAGTTATATCATGCCATTGGGCTTTCAATAGATATTGATGCCCATGGTTAAATTGGGACTTGGTGACACGATTAGTATGGTTCCTCGAACATAAAACATTTTTTCACGCAAAACCAAAAGACTAATATAAAGATACTGATTTCTCGTTTTCCATTTTTATATGTGTTCGTTCAGTAGGCCTATAGATGTTATATGACGTACATGTAGTCCATATACTAAGATTCTATATTGTAAATATTTATTTTTCATTTGTTACCTCAACTGATATGACGCTGATAGTTTGAAAACCAAATAATGAGGCAAATCGATGTTATTAGATAATGAGAGTTAAATTGCTCCCTAAGCAATGTATTGATTGTGGAAAGTCGAGTTAAGTAAATTCTTTAGTTTTCAAGGTCTTTAGTAAACGATCACAAAATCAACATTATAAAACAGATCATGCAAGGATTTGCCCTTCAACTGGCTCATTGCTTTGGGATTGATTTTATAAAAATTATCAAATCTAGAATCAAATTATTTGTCTTGATACTGTTCAAGTTGCCTGGATAAGATCCTATTCATTATATGGACATGTTCATTGACACTCTTTTTTTACAAAAGTTTTAATCAATTTGTGGGACAGTAGACTTAGAATACGCAAATACGTTGTGTTGAAGTAAGTGACAATAAAAAACAAGGCATTGACATGCATATTTTCACCACCTGCCATTTAGACGCCGACCGCCGAACACCAGTCACAAAAAAGTTGGAGACTTTAACAATACCGAATGTCATAAATTCTGATGGCGACATAAAAACTGAAATAGTTTCCATACGTTCTTCAGTCATATTTTGTCATCGTTTGTGTTGACTAAGATGTGTGGGTTCTTATAATTTGATGCTTAATTCTCTGTTTTTTAAAAAATGAACATGGCCGAAACTCCTTGAACAACAACAGGCCATAGATTTATTGCGCATAAAACTAATTAATCTGAAATAGACAAATGCCATTCGTGTATACTGTGAATATATTTTTTTCTATATATTACAGCTCTGTGGTCTTTAAATTCCTCATTTCTTTTTTTATGAAATAAACATTGAAATGGACTATAAGTTAGAGAATTTTTATCAGAACTTCTGGATCTGCCCTTGTATCTCAAATTGAAATTTTTGAGCATCGCATTTCGAGCTCCCCGTGATAAGAAAAAGATTCTCAAAATGAAAACTGGATAAAACATCATTAATTCCAATTTTAACCTGAACTATTTCTATTTGTATAATTATTAATTTTGATAAAATATAGTGTAGTGCTAAAACCTTTTATATATTTCAAAATGCTCAATTAAAATCAGCTGAATAAGATAAAGTCAATTTTATTTACTATTTTTCTTCATTTTCAAGCACAATACATTTCTTGTTGTTAGCTTTTGGGAGTGGGTACTTAATCAATGTCTTGATAATCCGCACATGTTCTCTTTTTATGAGACGCTTTCATATTTGATAAATAGTTAGATCGACGGTTTGTCCATTTAACATTTAAATCTTTAAAATGTATTTGAATTTCTGCATTCTTTACAACTAAATCAGTGATTTACATATATTTAAATGTTGATTCAAATTTCCCGATCGAGAGAAACATTTTTTACATTGTTCACACTGAAATGGTTTCTCTCCAGTATGTGTCCTTAAGTGTTGAATTAAAGGATATTTGCTAAAGAAACATTTCTTACATTCTGCACATTCAAATTTTTTCTCTCCAATATGAGTCTGGATATGTTTCTTTAAGAATATGCCACATCTAAAGCATTTCTCACAATAGTCACATTTGAATGGTTTCTCTCCTGTATGAATACTGATATGTTGATTCAAAAAACTTTGCCTTGTGAAACATTTCTCACAATGTTCACATTTGAATGGTTTCTCTCCAGTATGAGTCCTGATATGTTGTATCAAATTGCTTTGTCGTGAAAAATACTTCTCACAATGTTCACATTTGAATGGTTTCTCTCCAGTATGAGTCCTGATATGTAGTATCAAACTGCCTTGTTGTGCGAAACATTTCTCGCAATGTTCACATTTGAATAGTTTTTCTCTTGTAGGCCTACATGTTGTATGAGTTTTGATATGTTCTTTTAAAGTATGTTGTAATGCGAATGATTTCTCACAGAGTTCACATTTGTATGGTTTCTCTCCAGTGTGAAATCTTAAGTGTCTCTTCAAATCGTCATGTCTTGAAAATAACTTTGCACACTTTTCACATTGGAATTGTTTCTCACCAGTGTGAACCCTTATATGGCCCTTTAAGTATTGAACTGTTTTAAAACATTTATTACAATGTTCACATTTGTATGGTCTATTTTCGGAGTGAATTCTTAAATGTTTCTTCAATTTATCATTTTTGGAAAAACACTTTGCACACTTTTCACATTTGTATGGTTTATCTCCCTTGTGAAGCTTGACATGGGTTTTCAAGTGTTGAGCGGTTTTAAAACATTTATTGCAATATTCACATTTGAATGGTCTTTCTCCAGTATGGATTCTTAAATGTTGCCTCAGTTTCTCATGTCTTGAAAAATACTTTGAACAGTTTTTACATTTGTATGAATTATCTCGCTTGTGAAGCTTGACATGGATTTTCAAGTGTTGTGATGTTTTGAAACGTTTCTCACAATGTTCACATTTGAAGGAATTTCCACCTATATGACTCCTCATATGTTCCTTCAAAGTACTTTGTTTCGTAAAACAATTGTCACATTGTATACATTTAAATGGTTTATCATATTCACGACAATAAGAATGCTCATAAAATAAACTGATTATTCGTTCATCATCTGTGGTTTCTATATTTTCACTTATAATGTCTCTTTTATGTTTTGTATTTTGTTCACTGCTATCTATCTTTTGTCCAATATCATTTCCATTATTTAACTCAATTGTTGTAACATTGTCTTCATCATTTGTATTATTTAACTCAATGGTTGCAACATTGTCTTCATCATATGCATTATTTAATCCTACTTTAACATCAGATACCTTGTTGTCAGTTATAGGAAAGTATTGTGTATTGCCACATATATCTTCTAATTCTGTCTTAACATCATTATGGTAGATCCTATCAGGCAAGGCCACACCATTGGTAGCAATATCATTCTCATTATTTGCACTGTTCAAATCTTGTTTCACAACAGATACTTTGCTGTCGTTTATAGGAATATATTGTGTATTATCATATATATCTTCTAATTCTGATTTAACATAATTATGGTAGATCCTAACTGACAAGGCTGCAGCATTGGTTTCCTTATTGTCCTCTGCAAACGATTCCTTGATTTCTTCTTTGATGTTATCAAGTCCATAGAAGTCTGTTGAACCAGTCTTCGTATTACCACCAGTTTCATCTATTTCTTCTTTAACCTCATTATGGTTCACACAAGCAGGCAAGGCTGCATCATTGGTGTCAATATTGTCCTCTGTGAATGATTCCTTGATTTCTTCTTTGATATTATCAATTCCATTGAAGTTTGTTGAACCAGTCTTTCTATTACCATCAATTTCATCTTTAACATCATTGAGGTTGACCCAAGCAGGCAAGGCTGCATCATTGGTGTCAATATTGTTCTCATCAAACGATTCATTGATTTCTTCTTTGATATTATTAAGTCCATTGTAGTCTGTTGAACCAGTCTTTGTATTACCATCAATTTCATCTATTTCTTCTTTAACATCATTATGGCTCACACAAGCAGGCAAGGCTGCATCATTGGTGTCAATATTGTCCTCTGTGAATGATTCCTTGATTTCTTCTTTGATATTATCAATACCATTGAAGTTTGTTGAACCAGTCTTTCTATTACCATCAATTTCATCTATTTCTTCTTTAACATCATTGAGGTTGACCCAAGCAGGCAAGGCTGCATCATTGGTGTCAATATTGTTCTCATCAAACGATTCATTGATTTCTTCTTTGATATTATTAAGTCCATTGTAGTCTGTTGAACCAGTCTTTGTATTACCATCAATTTCATCTATTTCTTCTTTAACATCATTGAGGTTGACCCAAGCAGGCAAGGCTGCATCATTGGTGTCAATATTGTTCTCATCAAACGATTCATTAATTTCTTCTTTGATATTATCAAGTCCATTGTAGTCTGTTGAACCAGTCTTTCTATTACCACCAATTTCATCTATTTCTTCTTTAACATCATTATGGACGACACAAGCAGGCAAGGTGGCATCATTGGTATAAATATTGTCCACATCAAATGGTTCACTGATTTCTTCTTTGATATTTGATTCATTATTTAATTGTTGGATACAATCCTCCATATCTTTACAATTCATATTAATTGTTTAAGTAATATTTGATTCAGTCTCTTGTTGCATCTCACGAACTGTTGTAGTCAATTGAATTAATATCCTCTTCTCTCATTTGTTCAGGGAAAACCATGAAAATCACTTAATTTGAACTGCAATCCAGAATACTGTTGACCATTTAGAAGCTCCCTTGCACTGAAAATATAGTGAAAACAATTATTAACATCTACAATACGATGAGATTAGAACAGCACGCATAATTTTAGTTTACCTTTACTATAACCATGTTCTAAGATTAGTCTAATTTGTTTTTTTGGTTAGCCTAATTTGTTTATTGAACACAATTTGATAAAAAGTTACATTGTCACTTAACATAACATCGGTCTATTTCACGTTACCCCTTCTTCAGACAATTTTTATATTTTCACATCTTATAGATTTGAATGTCCTCTTTTGAATATTCATAACCTAGTTTGGGTAATATTTCTATATTTTTCATAAAAAACATGATAAGCCAGGTGACTGTTCTCCAAACCGAGACTTGTCCTTTCGGTGGACAAACCTCAGTAACGAGCAAGACACATAAGTCTCCCCCGATCACAGGTATGTTGCACTAAGCATTGGAACTCACTGTCAATGAGAAATAGGGCAAAACATCATAATGGGCACATATGGGAATCCCTTCCCAAGTCTCCAACCTGTATTTGGAACTCATTGTGAATGAGAAATAGGACAAAACATCATAATGGGCACATATGGGAATCCCTTCCCAAGTCTCCAACCTGTATTTGGAACTCACTGTCAATGAGAAATAGGACAAAACATCATAATGGGCACATATGGGAATCCCTTCCCAAGTCTCCAACCTGTATTTGGAACTCACTGTCAATGAGAAATAGGACAAAACATCATAATGGGCACATATGGGAATCCCTTCCCAAGTCTCCAACCTGTACAGGGGCGGATCTGGGAACCAACAAGGGGGGGGGCCCAAATTTCAGGTCAGAGAATAAAACGTCCGCGCTTGCACGTAAAAAAATTTTGGGCCCCTAAAAGGCAAAAGTGGGTCCAAATTTTGAGGCCCATTTTCTTCAAATTTTGGCCTAAATTTAAAAAATAAGGCCTTAAAAGGCCAAGTAATGACCTGAAAGGCTGACTTTTTGGGGCCTTAAGGCCTTTTTTGGCCCCAAATTTTTTTTGGGCCCAATTTTTTTTTCTGGGCCCACCCAAGGGGGGGGGGGGCCCGGGCCCCCAGGCCCCCCCCTAATCCGCCAGTGCTGTATCTATTGGATTTGAAGTAATTTAAATGGGCAGAGAGTTTTTAATTTTTGACAAATAACCGTTATTATCCTGAATTCCTCTATAGCTAGCTATTAGCTAACATGCTAATTGCAAGGTATGATCGACCTCATTCCTATCAAAACACATACAAATAAAATGTATTCTGCATTTGACATCAGAATCAATGAATATCTAATTGATAACTACATTTATTCCATAGTTAGCATGATATGCATGGGATAACATGTGAAAATAAAAACGGTATTTTTGTAATCAGTGGTAAAATATGATATTTTTGACAAATTTTCACTTAACCATAACATACGGTTTTTTAGCCATGACATACGACGTCGTATGCGATGGTTTATGGATTTTTGCTACTTCAGACTCAAAACGAGGCTAAGTGTCAACATCGCCGGATCGTCTGGAAATTCGAATTAAATCACTTAATTTCCGACGATTCTGATGATGACTTTAACTATGGAATAAAAAGAACATCCTATGATTTACTCGTGATATGATTTCAATCCACTCATGGATATTGATATCTGCACTCTCTCGCTACGCTCGCTCGTGCAGATATCATATCCATTCGTGGATAAAAATCATATCACTCATAAATCATAGGATATCCTCTATTTACTATCATCAATATCAGATATCAAGCCAAATATCTCCCCTCAATAACTAGCATATTTATCAACAGCATGATCAGAAGAATACTGTTACTGTTATTTGCTTTATTTCCCTTAACATAATGACACAAAATTCTAACATCCTTAATCCACATCATCATCTAAATATTGAAAAATACGTGTACCTTTTAAAACCATGATGACTACAAGTAAATGTTTTTTTTCAGTACGATTCTTTACATTGGTTTCAACTGTTTTGTTTCAAATTAAATTTACTAAAGCGTGAAATTATTTCTTGATATGTTGTCTTAAATTCCTTTTGATTGCAGAGAATATCACAAAATGTTCACATTTGAAAAGTTTCTCTCAAGTACAAATCCCTAATAAGTTTTTTCATATGCTTTTTTGAGTGAAACACTTCTCACAATGATCACATATGAACGTGTTGTCCCCAGTATGAATTCTTATATTGTTTTGAACTGTTTTGTTGCGTAAAACACTCCCCACAATGTTCACAAATGGTTGATTTTTCTCAAGTATGAATTCTAATATGCTGTTCCAAATCACTTTGTAGAGTGAAACACTTCTTACAATATTCACATTTGAATGGTTTTCCTCCTGTATGAGTTTTGATATGCTTTTTTAAGTTTCCTTTAAGTGAAAAACGTTGCCCACATTGTTCACATTTGAATGGTTTCTCTCCGGTATGAGTCCTGATATGTACTTTCAAATTTACTTGTTGTGTAAAACACATTTCACAATGCTCACATCTGAATGGCTTTTCTCCAGTATGAATCCTGATATGCTGTTTAAAAGCACCTTTCTGAGTGAAACACTTCCCACAACGATCACATGTGAATGGTTTCTCTCCAGTATGAGTTCTGATATGTTGCACCAAATGGTATTGTTGGTTGAAACACTCTGCACAATAATCACATTTAAATGGTTTCTCTCCAGTATGAACCCTGATATGCCGTTCCAAACAATTTTGTTTAGAGAAACACTTCTCACAAAATTCACATTTGAATGGTCTTTCTCCAGTATGAATCCTGATATGCCCTTTCAAAGAGCTTTGTCGAGAAAAGCACTTCTCACAATGATCACATTTGAATGGTTTCTCTCCAGTATGAATCCTGAGATGTCGTTTCAAATAAATTTGTCTAGCGAAACACTTCTCACAATGTTCACATTTGAATGGTCTCTCTCCTGTATGGATTCTGACATGTTGTTTCAAATCCTTTTGATGAGCGAAAAACTTCTCACACTGACTACATTTGAATGGTTTCTCTCCAGTATGAGTTCTCATATGTTGTATCAAATGGTCTTGTCGTGAGAAACACTTTTCACAATGATCACATTTGAATGGTTTCTCTCCAGTATGAATCCTGATATGCTGTTTCAAACCACCTTGCTGTGAGAAACACTTCTCACAATGATCACATCTGAATGGTTTCTCTCCAGTATGAATCCTGATATGCAGTTTTAAAGCACTTTTGTGAGTGAAACACTTCTCACAATATTCACATTTGAATGGTTTCACCCCAACATGAGTACTCCCAGTATAAACATTAGTATCAACTAAACATCCAAGCTCCAGTCTGAAATCTGAGACTTTATTTTCAAGATGAACTGGAGCATTGCTTTTACTTGTGTCAACATCAGTCACTTGTGTATTATAATTTGTATAGTCAAACTCTTCTGTAACATTTTCAAGTCCACTACAGTCTGTTGAACCAGTCTCTGTATTATCACCAGTTTCATCTATTTCTTCTTTAACATCATGATGGCTGACCCAAGCAGGCAAGGCTGCATCATTTGTAGTAATATTGTTCTCATCAAACGAATCATTGATTTCTTCTTTGATATTATCAAGTCCACTGCAGGCTGTTGAACCAGCATAAGTATTACCCCCAGTTTCATTTGATTCTTTTTTAACATCATGATAGCTGACCCAAGCAGGCAAGGCTGCATCATTTGGAGCAATATTGTTCTCATCAAACGATTCATTGATTTCTTTTTTGATATTATCAAGTCCACTGCAGGTTGTTGAACCAGCATAAGTATTACCACCAATTTCATTTGATTCTTTTTTAACATCATGATGGCTGACCCAAGCAGGCAAGGCTGCATCATTTGTAGCCATATTGTTCTCATCAAACGATTCCTTGATTTCTTCTTTGATATTATCAAGTCCACTGCAGGCTGTTGAACCAGTCTCTGTATTACCACAAGCTTCATTTAATTCTTCTTTAACATCATTATGGCTGACCCAAGCAGGCAAGGCTGCATCATTTGGAGCAATATTGTTGTCATCAAACGATTCCTTGATTTCTTCTTTGATAGGTGGTTCATCCTTGATTTGCTTGACACAATCCTCTGTATTCATACAATTCATATTGTTTAGATAATATTTGATTCAGTGAGAAATGAAGTGATTTGAATATTGACTATTCTCACCTGTCATTTGTTCAGGGAAAATCATGAAAATCACTTAATTCCAACTGCAATCCAGAATACTGTTGACCATTTAGAAGCCCCCTTGCACTGAAAATATAGTGAAAACAATAATTAACATCTACAATACAATGAGATCAGAAAAGCATGCATGCTTCTAGTTTAAAGATTCATCTAATTTGATTATTTGGTTAGCCTAATTTGATTATTGAATACAATCTGATAAAAAGTAGGCTTATGTTGTCACTTAACATAGCATACAGAAAGTGATGCTCACTTATAAACAAAATATTATACACTGTATATTTTTACTAATATTTATTAGATTATACCATGAGGATTCAAACTGTTGCATAATTAAACGAAAGAACAAAATTTTACTGCGGTAACATTTCACAGATTTCACAAGTTTATTATTATTTGGTAGATACCAAAGTACCAAAGAACCTCAAGAGAGTGACTTTTGTGAAAAGTGCAAAATTACCTATGGAGGCCTCCTCATTACCTTTTTATCAATTAGTAAAATCAAGTACCCTGCATACTATTTGAATACATGATCTAACAAGCTACAGTATTCAGTAATTCTTGAGTGTAGTTATTGATAAAATACTATAGAATTAACTAGAAAATGGAAACTCCACAGAGTAGCAAATCCCAACGAACATGATCAATATGTACAGTCACGATGTAATATTTACCATCTACTCTTACCTTCAATAAATATTTTGGATCATTGTAGTATCATGTCACCATACTTTCAAGATAACTCTAAGTAATGGCGAATTTCTGCTCTAGTCAGCCATTTTGAATTTTCAGATGCAAAAATCACAAGGAGGATTGGCTCCCAGAATGCAACACCGATATTCTGCAAAACAATCACCTAGCGATAGCTTTGTTGGAGAGTATCGGGTTATTCTCCATGTGTACAAATTATACAGACACGAATAGCAAATGACGCATGCGTGGAGATTAAAGAATATCGAGTTGGAACCCTGGCTTCCAATCCTCCTTGCAAAAATCAGAAAAACGATGCCATAATTGTGATGTACTCTGAAAATCCTTCACTTTGAGTATAATATAGCCATACTTTTAAGAATCAGAAAATAATTGCGAAATCCCTCATTAGGCAGCCATTTTGAATTTTTTGAGGCCCTAATCAGAAAAATGCTACAATATTTGCGATCTACTCTAAATTGCCTCTCATTTGAGTATAATAACGCTATACTTTAAAACCATCTCAAAATTAAAGCAAATTCCTGTTTTCCAAATCCCAGATTTACGGCCCCTGGGGGTCAGGGTGAAAATCCCAGGATATATGTGAAATAGATAGATGTTGTTAATATACTACCAAAATTTCAAATAATAATATTTATTACCTTGGTTTAAAATGAAAAACATAAGATTTCTGCGAAAAAAATTTTTTGCGTAAAACTATTCACCAATATACATCTTTCCACCAAATATAAAGAAAATCTATTGACTTGTATTCGAGTTATCTTCCGGACAGAGGGACGGACTGACTGACGGACAGACGGATGGAGGGCTTCACGTTATCCCTACTGAACTTCGTTCGTTGAGATAATTAACTATTTGATGACATTTATTATTTGATATAGTATTTTTACTTTTTCAAATCAACATGTTAGATGTAATTTTCTACACTGTCAAAGCACAAAGGCACATTGAAAGAAACATGATTTCTCCATATTATACCCCTTCAGCAATTAAACAATGATTATCTCATATTCTATTCAAAGGAGAAAAATTATCAAGATTGGAAACTCTCTAGGGTTCATCAAATAATTTTGATTGGATTAATTAAGGATTTAAGCCCTGGACTCATATAAATGGTGACTCTCCAGTATAAATTGCTTTTAACTGCTCTGTTGCGTGTTCACATATGCAGGGGTTTCTCTAGAATTTCTCACAACAGGCTAAATAATTGATAACAACAGCCAAAATTAATGGAAATCATGAATTGAATATGGAAAAGTTGAAAGGTCACTCAAAACAACAGGCGATTTTGTGAAAACAACTATTGAAAATGGCCCTTTGCCTGCTGCTAATGAAATCCCTGCATATGGATGATTTCACTAAAGTATGAATTCTGTTATTGTGTTTCAAGTAACTTTGTTGAGTGAAACACTGCTCAAAGTATTCATATTTGAATGTTTTTTTCTCTTTTCATGACATGTGTCTTGATATGTCTTTTTAAATTTCCTTTAAGTGAAAATCTTTGCTCACAATGTTCACAATTGAAAGGTTTCTCTCCGGTATGAGTCCTGATATGCACTTTCAATTGTACTTGTTGTGTGAAACCCTTTTCACAATGATCACATATGAATGGCTTCTCTCCAGTATGAATCCTGGTATGCCGTTTAAAATCACTTATTCGAGTAAAACACTTCCCACAACGATCACATGTGAATGGTTTCTCTCCGGTATGAGTCCTGAAATGTTGCAACAAATGGGATTGTTGGTTGAAACGCTTAGCACAAAGATCACATTCGAATGGTTTCTCTCCAATATGAGTCCTTATATGTACTTTCAAACTGCTTTGTTGAACGAAACACTTCTGACAATATTCACATTTGAATGGTTTTTCTCCAGCATGAATCCTGATATGCTCTTTCAAACCACTTTGTTGAGTGAAACACCTCTCACAATCATCACATTTGAATGGCTTCTCTCCAGTACAATCCCTGAGATGTTGCTTCAAATAACTTTGTCGAGTGAAACACTTCTCACAATGTTCACATTTAAATGGTTTCTCCCCCTTATGAATCCTCATATGTTGTATCAAATCTTTTTGAAGAGTGAAACACTGTTCACAATGTTCACATTTGAATGGTTTCTCTCCCATATGAATTCTGATATGTTGTTTCAAAATATTTTGCCTTGTGAAACATTTCTCACAGTGATCACATTTGAATGGTTTTTCTCCGGTATGAGTCCTTATATGTTGCATCAAACTGCCATGTTGTGCGAAACACTTCTCACAATTATCACATTTGAATGGTTTCTCCCCGGTATGAGTCCTGTTATGCTGATTCAAATGACCTTTTTGTGAGAAACATTTTTCACAATAATCACATCTGAATGGTTTTTCTCCAGTATGAATCCTGATATGCTGTTTTAAAACACTTTGGTGAGTGAAACACTTCTCACAATATTCACATTTGAATGGTTTCACCCCTACATGAGTACTCCCAGTATAAACATTAGTATCAACTAAACATCCAAGCTCCAGTCTGAAATCTGAGACTTTATTTTCAAGATGAACTGGAGCATTGTTTATACTTGTGTCAACATCAGTCACTTGTGTATTATAATTTGTATAGTCCAACTCTTCTGTAACATTTTCAAGTCCACTGCAGTCTGTTGAACCAGTCTCGGTATAACCACCAATTTCATCTAACTCTTCTTTAATATCAGTATGGCTGACCCAAGCAGGCAAAGCTGCATCATTTGTAGCAATATTGTTCTCATAAAACGATTCATTGATTTCTTCTTTTATATCATCAAGTGCATCGTAGTCTGTTGAACCAGCCTCTGTACCATCGATTCCATCTAATTCTTCTTTCACATCATTATGGATGACTGAAGCAGGCAAGGCTGCATCTTTGGTATCAATATTGTCCTCATCAAACCATTCCTTGATTTCTTCTTTTATTTCTGGTTCATTTTTTGATTGTTGAGGCGGACAGACATTTATATATATACCACTCATATTGTTTAGATAATATTTGATACAGTTTAATAATATATAAATGTCTCTGAATGCATCTTGCGAAATGTAGTCATTTGAATTATATCCCAGATTCGCATTTGTTCAGAGAAAACCATGGACAATCGCTTAATTTGAATTGCAATCCAGAACACGGATGCCTGTTTACACTGAAAATAAAGTAAATGATAATTAATATCAACATTCAACAACACAATTGGCGTTTTAATTTTCTCTTTCCCTACTAGTCTTATGTTGATTCAAAATGTATCAAAATGCATGAAAAAATATCAACACGAAATAAAATGTTACACGTGATTCATTTCTAAGATTAGGGAGTTTAAGCTTGCATATCAAATCTAAACACCAAACTATACGTATGACTAATCGCCCACACAAATGCATCGCTTAAATATTTTCCGTTCACGTTTAGGTTGTGACAAACATTGCAAGCTTAAACTCCCTAATATCTACTGACCCTGTAAATGTTGACAATATTTGATTTTGCTTATTTTTTAGAAATCACAATATTGCCATTATTAAATTTCAAGGATTTAATGTACAGTAAAACATGAGTTAGTGAACACATCTCTCTAGTGATCACCTATCATCAGTGAACATTTCTTTTTGGAAAAACCTATTTCACCCATTGATTCCCATGTTAAAGTACAATCCTATAGTGAACACCTACATACTGTGAACATAAAATCAAATTTAATTGAATTATCCCGTCTCTTGTGAACATTGGATCAGATACAATATTTCTCACAGATTTTCTGCAACTGCCTTATCAGAGTTAAGCAGTTAATGTTAATATTACCTGCCCACATTAATTAAAAAATTCACATTTTTACAATTAAGACCAAAATTGGTCAAAATATGCCAATTTTTCTGATTTTCAAGTGGGTGCAAGCCTGTTTTCAAAATCTCAGGTGGGTGGTGCGCCCACTTGCTTTAATGCTAGGGAGATCACTGACAGCTTAAGATGTCACTAAAATCATATGAAAAAAGTTGAAATGCTTTTGAGCTGAGTGCTGAGAAATGACTTTTGTCTACACCACTTTCAAAATTACAGAATTCCCAATCTCTTATGGACAGTTTGAAGGAACCTAGATATATAACAGCATTCATGTGGAAATTTTCCAGATTGGCCAATTGAATAGCCATTAACTTTCATAAGAGTGAGTTTTGGGGTTTAAATTAGATGAACAATTCACCTTGGGCCTTATGACATGTATGAGAAAAAATAAATTAGTACCGTGGGTACTGGGCTCACATGGTGACAGAAAAAAAACAGATA